AGGGCACTCAAGCAGGAGCCCGGGACCGCCCCCGCCTCTGCAGCTCTTTACGGGGCAACCGCTGGTCAAAGCCATGAGCAAGGGCTCAGTCTCGGGACACAGTTCCAGAAGAGGATGGGAAAGCAGGAACAGGGCCAGCGTCAGGTCGAGTTGTGTAGGACAGCTCTTCAGACGCGTTCTACCGTTCGGGAGGGGCTGGGGGGCGGGGGTCCAGACTGTGGCTGGGCTGAACTAGGATCCGCTGCCATCAGCGAGTAATAAGACTGATACGCCCCAAGTTCGGAAGTGTCATATCCTGGCACTGCTCACAATTAAAACAAAAATCCACCCCTCCCCCCAAGATGACTGGTGCTAACTCACATAATATTAATAACAAGTAAACAATTTAATAGCCTCGAGTTCAAGAAAAATCGCAAATGAGACCGTTAACTGCACAGGACAGACGGATGGTCCTTGATTGACTTTTATGATGCTTCGTTAATGTTCAGTACATCTGGCAAATTTCAGTTGCTATTAGAAACACGGATACCTGGAAATGCTAATGCGTCCTCTACTCACGAAGAGAAAAGCAGCACCAGCAATCGGCAGGGGGCTGCAGTTTGTTGAAACGGAAACTGGCACCATCTGAGGTCAAAGCCCCCTAGCAGTAAACTAGCTACCACTGTTGGCAGGGAATGTGGATTTTAAGTAAGTTCTGAGATGCATTTTACGTTAATTCTCGGCCCCTGGATTTCTAACTGAAGTCAACGGCAGCGTAACAGACACCTACAGTAGACTACAGAGCAGCCAAGACACGGAATAACTGTGTTCTCTTTTCTGGCAGGGTCTAGGGCTTGAAGGAAGGTTCCTGTCAGTTAGAGAGAGAGTCAATTTTCAGGATGTTTAGCTAGGGAGGTTTTTTTGTGTGTGTGTTTGTTTGTTTTTTAATGGACATGGTTTAATCTGCAGATTAAAAGTGAAGTTTAGTAGGCATGGTGCACATGAGTGGTTGTGAAGTTCTGATAAAATTTTAAACTTAGAACATTGAATACACAAGAGAAAAAGATGCTGTAAGTGTCATACGAAAACGTACGTCATTGCTATTTGGGGCGTCATTTTTAATGCTTCGTTATTTTATATTTACCTCTCTCTGAGACGAATATGCATTGCTGGTCCTTTGCATTGTCGAGACACATTAGTTAAAGAAAATTTCTTAATCCTATGTGATCACGATCAAATTTTTCTGACGATTCCTTCGACCAGCCCCTACCTTGCCGTCACGTGTGACAGTTCTTGAACGGGTCCTTCTCAGTGCAGGGGCCCAAAGCCAGCAGGCCGACCACTGACCAGCCACTGACCTGACTCTTTCATAAAGGGCCTGACCAAACCACCGTGTTTGGGGTGACCTTGGGACGATCACAATTTGTAAAGTCACCTGGTATCAATTAGAGACTGTTTCCAGCTGGGAAGAAATCAGAACTGAGCCAAAGACGAGATGGTCAAGCTCTGCTACGCTCAGGGCTCTGAGGGCCTCTGTCCCATCTAGTTTACGTGACCACGGAACATAATCTCAACTTAAACGTTACACTTGTAGGTGGGACTGGAAACATCCGAACGACGCTGATCCACTTGCGGCGAGGAGCCGGGACTCTGACATCAGGCCGTCTGTCTGGGTTTCGGTCCGGGGCTCTTCGCTGGCTGTGTGACCCCAGGCAAGTTTCTGAACCTCTCTGAGCCCGGTTCGCCCCTCCTCATTTCGGGTATAATAGTTAACTAGTGATATCTGTCTCCGAGGCTGATCTGACACAAGGTAGGAGATGCGCTTAGCATAGTGGCCGGCACACAACAAGAGGTTGGTAAGTGTTACCAGTGTCACTGAAGACATGCTCCAGGAGCTGGGCGGGCTGTCAGGCAGTCTGAGAGTGATCGCTACACTTTGGCGTATGTGGCAGTGGGGGGCGGGCAGGCGGCTGTGGCTGGCCTTCCTCCTCGAATGGGCAGACCCGGACAAACACAGCAGCGTTTTCGAACAGGATAAAAGTGGCTTCGACTTTTTTTCATCTGTGACCTTGACTAAATTCTAAATGTCGAATGAAAAAGTAGGAATGGGTAAAAGGATCTAAGTCTCACCATTTTTAAGGATTAAAACTCAGAAAAAAACTTGGCCCACGGACACGGTGGATGCCACCATGGACGCCTGGGGAAGGCGGACGAGGGCACGGCCCTGCGAGCTGGGAACCCTGGGTTCTGGCCTCGATCCTGCCACACGCTTTCCACGTGGCCTTGGGGAGTGACCTTGGCATGTCACCTCGGCTCTCGGCCACGGCCTCCTCGTGTGCAGGAGGAGCCGGACAAGGCACCGGAGCCCACCAGACAGGATTCTGACCAGGAGAGACTCAGGAGAGCTGTGCGTGTCCCGGGGGGGGGATTCGGTCACGGGGTGAGTTCCACCTAAGAGGCGACTGGTAGAAAAACTGGGCCAATGAGATAGAAACAGCTTCCACGCTCGCCGGGGGCCCTCGGCACCCCGTCCACAGAGCACCTGGCTTATTCCACCCGGGCAGGCTTGCCTGAGGGAGGTCGGCTCTGCGGCCCTAGGTGTCCCCTTCCTGGACAGAGATGGCCTGCCCCGAACGACCTGTTTCTCTAGTCAAACAGGGGCGGCTGGGAAACCATCCAAGGAGTTTTCAAAGCCGTCGGTGCTCGCTACCAGGCCGGAAAAGGCGGCACTAGCGTAGTGCCCTCTTGTAAAGTTCAGTGAACGGGACTGTAAGTAGCATTCTGAGCAGGCCAAGCCGAGGGCCGGCAGCACTGCGAATACGTGCTGACCAACACGGCTTTCCAGAATGTCCTCGGCTGCACAGCAGTCCCCATACGTGCCTACAGTATTCTCAGTTTTGTGAAGGGGATGGCGGCCCCAACCATGCTGGAAAGCAATGTCACCTGGCCTCCAGGCCTGTCCCCGCTTTGGGCGTGACTAATTTCCTCCCCAGCTGAACAGGGCTGCGAGCTGCGGCCGACTTCCGGTCACGTACTCTCCTTCACGGCGAGCGCCATCCCCTGCCCTCTCTCTTCCTCCACGAGCTTAACAACAGGCAATGCCACAGCATCTCGGGTCCGGTATGTCCCCGGTCTGTGACAATGTCCCAACTGGCATTAATCGGCAGGGCAAGGAGGCAAGGGGGGGTCGTCCCTTCCACGTGGCCCCATGAGTGTGAGTCGCGTTCTCTGCAGACCCTTCCTCGCCGCACGTGCTAAGCAGTCTCTCGTCCGCCGAGAGACTCATCGGCCACCAGCACTTGTACCTCCCGAGGCATAAAATGACAAAGGGGAATGAGGGTATAATCACGACTCACAATACGCACTGGAGCGGAGATGCCCAGTTCGCTTGAAGAACCTCAGTTATAAAAAGGAACAGCTATTCTGAAGAGGAGAAGACTGTGGTCTCCACATTTTAAAATCGAGTTTTATGCCCCTAAGGTGTAAAAATATATTCATAGCTGGTTAAGGCCCTTTGAGTGGATTCTGCCTTATTATGGAGAGTGAATGTATGTAACTAGAATTGTATTTTTAAACCACGTCTTCGAGCTCACGTTAGGAAAAATAACAATCTCGTGGAATGAGTAGTTCCTATTGATTCGTCTGGCAGGTACGGTCTGTGCTGGCAGCCTTCTCCTCGTCCAGCTGTTTGTAGGAGAGGCCATCTCACCGCTGGCCACCAGGGTTCTTTGCTTTTATTATTTATGTTAACTTGCTTCTGGCTTTTATTATTTATATTAACTCGTTTCTGGCAGCCTTCGCCACAAAATTCCTACTGAGTTACAGAAATTTACTGTCTAATTACTCAACATCCGTTCATCTTTCAATGGATCGATTTTAAAAGTTTAGAGTGACATTTGAAAGGCTTGTGGTTTGGGGACAGTGGAGGAATGAAGCCACAAAAAAAAAAGTGCACTTTTCTGTTCTACTTTTTTCTTATTCAAAGACTCACACGGGAAATTGCTCTAATGTTAATGGTAGACATTGCTTAGGTTAGAAAGCAAGACTCCGCCTGCTGCCATGCCACCCTGAGCACACCCGATCCCGGCTGACCTCAGAAGCTAAGCAGGGTCGGGCCGGTTAGTGCTTGGATGGGAGACCACCCAGGAAGACCAGGTGCTGTAGGCTTTTAAAAAACAGCCAGATTCCTGCAGACGTTTGAACTTGCGGTAGTCTGGCTGTCACCGTCCATTTTGACAAGGCGGGCCATGATTTAATCACCTCGGCTTCTTCACAGAGTTGACTACGCAAGTTATCGGGTATTTTGATAACGCGATGATATCACTGTGTTCGCCTACTCAGAAAACACTGCTAACAGCGGCTAGGAGACAATCAATGAACATTATCCACCTCCAATGCAAACTGGTGAGATTTCGACTCAGGCCCAGGCTTTTTGGGAAGAGGAAGCAGGGCAGAAAGGAGGACTGTTTTTATCCTACTTGGACCAAAATGGGAAGTGTGAGTCATGTTCTCTGCAGACCCTTTCTCGCCGCACGTGCTAAGCAGCGTCACGTCCCAGGGACTGTCCACTTCCTGATTTTAAGTAGACGTGGTGACACGTTTGGCTGCCTTAATTCTAGTTAGAACTGGAGGGGGCTTAACACACTGGCAGGGCTGTGCGACATCTCACCAGAAAGAAGCAAGCAAGCCCACAGGTATGCTCAGCTGGAACCCCATAGACAGAAACTCGTGTGTCGATCCACGAGACATCTGTGTTCACGGTGGGAACTTACGTGGTCGGAAAAGCGTGTTATTGCTGTTTCTCTTGACGGTAGGTTATGTGGCAAGCAGCCTATGAGAGACAACTGAATATCTGTGGCTTTTCAAGGAGACGGCCATAGGATTTAGCTACACTTCGGAGCAGGATCAATAGTTATGAAAGAAAGTTAACCCTTCCGTCAACATGCCTGAACTCAGGTGGATTTCTAGCCCTGCCCCCACCCAGTAGAAACCCGGTTTTGAGGGGGCGTGAGACGCGGCACCTTCTCTCCGTAGCCTCTGTCCTTGGTCATCATTTCGCGGAGGGTCTGCAGGACTTTGATGCAGAGTTTCTCCTCGTTTTCCTCCAGCAGCTGTTTCGTGTGCTTGATCAGCCTGGATGGGGCGGGAGGGCCACATGTTACGTCGCCGCGGCATGTGTGCGTTAAAAACCCCTCTGCCAGCAACTGACTGCCATTCTCCAGCCAACGAACAGGTATTTGCCAAGGACTCCCAGGTTAGGCGTGCCTGGGGCATTCTCCACACGGAGAACCAACCTCACCGAGAATCGACAGCGACACCTGCTGGCTGGTGACAGCACGCAGGCTCAGCGGGCAGAGCCAGTCACGGCCCGTGGAGAGAGTAGAGAGAGAGACAGGGACAGGGGGACAGAGTCCACTCAGACCAGCTCGTTTATGAAGGGCAGCTTTATGAGGACAGCTGGTGACGTGGCCAAAACGTGCCAGCGGTGCAAACACCGCATGAGGATAATGGCGCAGACTGTCCCCTGATCCAGTCTGGGCCTCGAGGAGCCCTGAGCAGTAAACCGAACGGCAGAGGCCACCCTCCAGCTCCGCAGAGAACCAGCCTCAGGGTAAACATCAGATGGAGGTCCCTGGTCCGGAAGCCAGGCGTTTCTCTTAGATTACGCCCCAGGCTTCAACCAGGAGTCTACAGACCCGTTAGGAAAAGACTGCGGGGCCCGGTAAGTGCCGGAGTTCTGAGGGCGGAAGGGTTGTGACGGTTTTTGGGTCTGTGTCACAGTCCCTGGTGGGCAGGGTCAGTCCTTGCCGAACAGAAGACAGGACGGGCATGCCGGTGACAGGAGACAGGCTCACAGAACCGCGGCGAGGCCCACGGACTCACTCTGGGACGTCAGAACAGGACTCGTCGACGTCGAAAACCAGGGCTAGCGTCCCCTCTTGGGAACGACTGCTCTGTCCGGCCGCGGAGCCCCGAGGCGGACCACCCCAGCGGCAGAGGCCACTTACTTGCAGATGAAGCCGCCGCTCTCACACTTGCGCCTGGCGTCGGTGTTCTCCGGGAAGAGCAGCTCGGGCCTGTGCAGGACGTCCACCAGCACGGACAGCTCGGCCTGGACCAGGGGCCTCAGCCGGTCCTCCAGCGCCGACACAATGTCCTAGAAAGGAGCACAGCGTGCTGAGCGGCTACGGCCGGAGCTGACCGCGGAGGCTGAGGACGTCCCCTTCTCACCTATGAGACGAGCATGGCCCTGGCTGGCTTGGAGAGACTTCGGGACTGACCCCAAACTCTCAGACATTGCCCCGTGGTGCCTGAAGCATTAGCCCCGATGCCGAAAACAAAGTGGAAACAGGTCTACGCCCCGCCAGCCCTTCCCGTGAGGGGGTCTTTAAGCTACTCAGCGGATCATTCCATATATTTTAAAATATGATGCAAAAGATACATTCGACCACATGGAGAGATGTCTACGGTACAAGTGCAAAAAATGGTCAAACAATAGTATGGACTACGTGATCCGATTTTCATAAACATCACCCATAGCTAAAGGATACACACCAGCTATGCCTAAGACATCTCTAGTGGTTTTCTCTGGGTGGTGGGATTACAGGAGATTCTCATTTTCTTCTCTACATCAGTACTCATGAATACCGTCAAATGACTTTCGATGAGCATGAAGTGTTCGTACAATAAGAAGTCGTATGAAAATGAGGACACGAATGAACGAACATGCGGTATCAACATGCTAAGTACGTGTACCCTGATAGCATGACGGTCTTCAAACGCAAAACACACAGCTCTAGGAAAGGGAAACAGAGAGAAGTTGAAGGAGCAGCAAAACCAACTCAACGAACACCATGTAAAGGCAAATGGCAGAACACGGAGGAGTTGTTATCGCCAAAAGATGCGGCCGCTTGCTGGACGGCTTGGGAACCGACAACCCAACCAGGGGCAGAGCTCGGCACAGCGGAGAACAGAGGAGCCCCCGGCTGACCGAGGGGCTTTGCGTGGGAAAGGCCACTCGAACTGCACGCGCCCCAGGTAGGGACCCAAATTTCATAGGCCATGGTCAATGGAGAACGGATCGATCTTTTATCAAAAAATAAAACATGTGAATACTATTTTACTTTACCTTATACTTAATACAACTTGTAATCACTCAGTAATAGTTAGGATGCATGAAGAATGCATGAGTCAATCAAACTATTTCTTTGGGGGAGGGGGTGGCAATTTTCCCGAGACTGTCAGGGTTTGCTGCGACATTCCTGGGGTAATGTCGACATTCGCAGCACCGTCAAAAAGGGTCATTTTGGCAAAATTCTCTGGAGTTTCATCGGTTTCCCCAACAGCTTCCTCTGCGAAAGCACCCACTTTCCTCTCCTTCAACAGTTAACTGGTCCCAACTTGCACATCTTTACTCGCCTACAGCACTGGACGGAATTGAAGCAGCTCTTCGGCATCGTGTTCGTGAAATCCTGCATCGTTTGCAATGTTTGAACTCTACATTGCAATCGATTTGCATCGCATGGTCAAATGGGTAACATTCGGCAATCGGAGAGACCGACACACGAGGATGGCGAAGCGACGTGCGGGGCGGGGAGCTCGTGTTACGTGAGGGGGCATCCGAATGGGGATTAATCACAGAAGCAGCCGCTCCGCAAGTGAATGTCCTTACACGTGACCACCTGTGCCGCAGAGACTCAGACGACTGCTCATCAGATAGTGAGGACCCTCCCTGTCAGCCACTGGCCAAATCTTTATCACGAGCAATATCTGTACTTACGTATTTTATTTCACTCTCTAAGAACATGCAAATCTACGAACAGCAAAAGAAGCTGGTGTGTTTGACCACAGGGAACTTATTTAGTTGGACAGACAAGAACGCACCGAGCATTCACACTTACGCGTCTACAACGTCCCTCCTTCCCAAAAGCACATGAGGTCGAGAAGCCCTCACTTAGGGAGCACGTGACCTTTAAGAACCAGCGTGCCACGGGCTGCACGTCTCTCTTTGACCCACGAAGCCCACCTGCCTCCCCAGCAGCACGGGCTCCGGCCGCACTGACCTTCCCTTTGTCCTTGAATGCGCCGTGGAGCCATATTCTCTCCTGTATGACGTCTTTACGTTTCTGTCTCCCGTCACATTGTTTTCTGTAAGTAAGTCCTACGTTTCCCTGATCTTGGCTCGAACATAACAGCGAAGTCTTCCTCGATCACTATCCCGACCCCAGGCAAGACTCGTTTCGGCATCTGAGTCTCCCGTGGTGCCGCTCACTCGTCTGCAGCACGTGTCTCCCTGTTGTTTTATCTGTGTGATTAGCCAACTAACGTCTGTCTCCCTCCCCAAACTCGAGACTCTATGAACGAAAAGATCGTTCCTGGTTTTGCTCACCACTGTACCCTCAGTGCCAAGTGTGGCGCTGACGAATGCATCCGTGAACCCTTCAGTCTTTCGGTGAGTTATATAACCCCACGGAGATGCACTTATTCCGTCTAGCAACAATGACTGTCATGGCCACAGCAGCAATGACAACACCAACAGGAACCATAACCACAACAGCTCTCGTTGATCGCGTGCTCGGCGCCCGCCGGCCACTGCGCTACGTGCTTTCTGTGAATTCTACTGTCCAAGAACAGCCACCGCCACAGGTCCCGCCTCGCACATTCTGCTGACCACGTGCCACTGACGTCTGTTCCGTAAAGTGGTGGTCTATGCGCCCTCTCCTTGAACCCAAGTGGCCCTCTGTGACTGCCGTGACTAACCAGGGACCGCGGGAGTGGTACTGTGCGACCCCTGGAGCCAGGTCACGAAGGCAGGATGGCCCCCGCTGGTCTCCCTGGAGACCTTCGCCTTGGGATCCGCCACGCTATGAGGAAGCCCAGAGCCCACGCGGAGGCCACCCGGAGATGTTTCGGCCAACCTCTCCCGCTGGGGCCCCAGCTGTCAATCAGCCTCGACTGCCAAACATGCGACGGAGCAAGAATTCAAGACCAGTCCGACTGGTCGCCACCGGACTGCAACCACAGGCGTGGACCTGAGCAGGTCATCTCGCTGTGCCCGGTCAGCCTCCAGAACAAAGCGTAAAAGCCCCGCTACTGTGACTTTGTCATGCGGGCGGAGACAACCAAACACGTTGCCAACTCTCCTCGGTCCTCACACCGACCCCGCGAGGTGGACGTCACGATCGCCCTACCATACGAGCACCAAAGCCACTTTCCCCAGGCCCCACTGTTTCTAAGCAGCGGAGCCAGACCCTGGCCCCTGGCCCGCGGCCACACTCTTGGCCACTGTGCCCATTCGAAGGCCCTGCGACTCTGAGAGGCACGAGAGGCGATCGTCGCGAGGCCGTCGAGGTGTGTCAGCGCTGACCGTCCCGCTCACACCCTAACGGAAGGACAGAGCTCTTCACAGGTACCGAGAACAAAGAGCATCGCCCAGCCGGGAGTCAACCCCACTCTACTCCCGCCTGGCTCATCCTGATACAAAACCCTTCTCCCCGGACTGTTAGGCTTGTTTACCTGCTGATTCAAGAGGCTGCATGTCGTGTCCCAGGGAGCTGGGGGGAAGCACCTGTGGCCCTCACTCTAAGCACCCTCTTCTAACACTCATACGCCTCCCTGGGAAGAGCAGACTCGCCATTCGTAAGGAGAACCTGTGAGCTGAGTAACCTTGACCGGCCATGACGGCCACGGGCGCATCCCTCCCTAGGGGGCTTGCCCTCCCGGTCCCACGTACATCACTGCATTTGACTATCCGCTCGCCACACCGGCTGCCTCCCGCGGCCGGCCTGGGGTTACCTGCAGTCTCTCAATGATATTCCGATAGTCTCTGGAGGCCGCCAGCACGGAGTCCCTGCGAGCCGCGTTGCGGGCGGACAGCCGCCAGCTCATGGCGGTTTTCTGCACGATGTTGTGGGACTTCAGGAAGAGGTTGTTGACTTGGCTGTCCAGGTCCACAGGGATGGCGATGGCCCGGCTCTTGGCTGTGCGGGAGAAGGTGTCTCATGAGCCTATCGCTCCCATGGGAGATGCCCGAAGACAGGACGCCTCCCCCCTCACCCGCCAGGCGGGCTTCTCCGGGGCGTAGAGCGGGTCAGCGTGAACACCGACGGGCTCAACCGAGCTTCGTCACCCTGCAGGTTCGGGGTTCCAATGTGAGCTCTGGGGGGGTGGGGAGGGACAGCTCTGAGGGATGTGACATGTGCAAAGGTTACACAGCTCAGGCAAGTTAAAGGTCAATGGGTTTCCCCAACGCATGGCTTTAAGGCCCCCAATGTGTTCATGTATTTTAAGAATTATCAAGACGGGGCACTCATTTGGCCAATGAACCAATTTTCCAAAACTCCTTTTTCAAGCTGGGTGTTCGATTCAGCGATGTGAGTTGTTCTGGCCCCGCAGGCTCTCGTTTCCCACTAAGGACATGAAAACTCAAGTCTCATCAGGAGAAAAGCATCAGTTGAATCCACAGTGGGGGGCTGTCTACAGGACACGTCGAGTTGTCCAGGCTGTCAAGGTCACAAACAGCAAGGGCACTCTGAGAAATTGTCAGAGGCCGGGGAACCGCGGAGGCCTGCCAACTAATGTGACTGGAAGCCTCGGCCGAATTCTGGGACGGAAAGGGACATTAGCGAAGAAAGTGGTGAAGACCGAATCAAGGCCAGTTGACAGCAACGTGCCAATATTAGTTCTGATCAGTGGTACCTGGTAGCGTCAGATGTTGACGGTGGAGGAACTGGGTGAGGGGTATACGGGGACTCTGTGTTGTCTTGGTAACTGTCCCATAAATCCGAACTTATTCTAAAATAAAAAGTTCGCTTGGAAAGGGAAGACAACGGAGACTAACAATCCTTTTTTCCACGTGAGGAACCTACCAGCCTCCAAACGACAAGACAGCTACTTCCTGCCTCCAGTCACAGGACCAGAAGCGAAGGTGTTCTACCACCTGTACCTGACCGTGAAAGCAGCTCCGGCACCCCGGAAGTGGGCTATGAGAAATTTAGGGACAGGAACCATTGGCCAGACGACAGATTTTTAACAGTTTAATACAGAACGTAGGAAATTAAATAATAATAATAATAATAAAATAATATAAAACTAAAAAGCAGGATGCACAGGAAACACTCATCTCAGCTAGAAACTATGGGCCTGCAGTGCCCTCTTCAAGCTAAGAACCGGAACCGGGGACGTGGGGTGTGACTCGCGTCCGGGGGATGTATTCCCCAGTGGGCGCGGCCTGGGTCCCTGGGTTCACGTCCCTTCACGCTCCTCGTCTCATCGCTGCCGAGATGATGAAAACATTTCATCTAACGAGCGCTGAGCTGGTCAACTTGGCGACTTGCCCAAATTTTAACGGCCTCGTGGTGCATGGCCATATAAGGGCAGAGGCGAGGGCTATCGGGGGGTTCCGTCTCAGAGCCCCGTTTCTGAGATATCACGTCAGGAATCTGTAACGCACAGACCTTCAAAAGCCTACTCTCTCGTGAAATAGTGCCACATCGATAATAAAGAGACACCAACACCTACCGCACGAGAGTAAAGGAAATTGGGCGACGAGCCCTAATAAACAGTCTAGACTTGCTGAACAGCTACTAAGCTGTTAGGGACCCCAGACCTGTCTTTGCTGATGACGTCTGCAGGGACCTAAAGAATCGCTACAGGCAGATAACTCTCCTCAAATTCAGACAGGGCGATCATGCCTTTGCATAGCATTTACGGGGGGAACGGGGCGAAGTAGTAGGGGCTGATGGAGTCGGGGTGAAGGGAGCAGTAACTTTCCAACTTCCTCTTGAGGCTGAGAAATGCCACGTGAGGGGAGGGGAGGTGGATGGAGACCCACTCATCACTGACAGGCACGAGGGAGCAACGCACCATTTCTGAGAAAGGGTGTTGCTCAGGGCCGGACGAGTGCTGTGCAGGAAATCAAGTTTCCACACGGTCAAATACATTTACAGGCAGATACAAATGGCTTTCTCGGATGAGGGACTTCCCAGGGCCTTGAATAAGCTTGCGGGCGCTGAGGCCTGCCAAGAGTTGCCTAACGTCTAACTGTGGAATCTTGTTTTTCAAAGCCTCTCCTTCTTTGGGACTGGCTGGCGCTTAACTCTGGGGGCGTCTGGCCTGGCTTGGGAGTCAAGCCCCCGCTTCCAGGTCTGGCCCTGCCGCTTCCGGTGCGTGGAGCCTCCCAGGTGCTCAGGGAACGCTGGCCTTCACTACTGCGGGGCAGTTCGTGTCCACCGTGCTGACTCCGAACCGCACGGGTACCTTACCCACATCGGACAGCACCCGAATGCAGCTCTCCACCGAGGCTTTCTGGCTCGGCACCAGCCAGTTGCAGTGGTAAACCCGGAAGACGCCTTGCAGCAGCTGCACGAAGACGGGCTGGCGGGTCTGCGAGAGAGAGAGGCCGAGGGAGAGGCCACGTGAAGACTTATTTGCAGATCGCTCATGCGCTGATCAGAAAGGGGTGAGGGTGATGAGCCGGGTTCCTGGCCTAGCCAAGCGGGGAAAAGCCAGAAGCACTGCGAGGCCGTACACAACCCGGTGCTGTCTGACGACGGACGCCTGATGGCAAAGAGGAGCCTGGAAACGGGCATTCTCATCCAGGTCCCAACCAGCTGTGTGGCTTCAAGCAAGTTACCTCGCCTCTCTGAGCCTGGGCTTTGTCCGGCACGTACTAAGCAGACTGAGGCAGATCGACCCCAAAGTTCTTCCCAGACATCACGTGCTGTGAGTAGAATCTACGCTAGTAAGTGGGTCTCGCCTGGAATGCTCCCCACGTGTTTATTTTTGGCAGCGTCATCAATGATATAAAAACAAAGCTGACGGCTGCTCTTCGTAAGTACTAACTCACCGTAGGGAACACTGTGATGTTAATACCTGGCAGGACTTCCTCCTCGCCGTGACGGTAAAAATTCGTACTCGTTTTAAAATAAGAGACCTCAAACATCCACCTAATCGATTTGACAGTGACTTTCTGAATGCGTCTAGAAGCTATAAGTGGTCAGGGCAGCTTTGGACCTACAAGGCAAAGATCGCCATGACGGTGAGCTGTTCTGCCGGTCTTCAGTTTGGGGGTGGGGGGTTCGCACAGCCCCTCCAAAAACAGTGGGAGCTACTGCGGCAAAGAAAAAAGCATTGGGAAGCTCCAGAGAGGACGCCAAGATGAATGGAAAACCACCGGAAGTGCTGGGGGGAAAGGAAGTCCGTTACGAGGGAAAAAAAACCAGGTTAATAAAAACGCAGACCCTCCTCCACGGACACTGGTTGGATAACTCCTATTTCTTCCTTAAGTGCTCCACACCTCATGGGGGCCCAGGTTACACTCCCTCGACACGGCAGGCACCTTAATGCCACAACGGAAACACGAAGGCCCATCAGGGCTGAAAGCAAGCACCCAAAACAACTCAGAAGCGATGGCGAAGCCGTGAGTGGACGTCGGGGTTCTCTGACGCCCCAAGTCCGTGTTCTTTGCACTCAGTCCTTCCTGGCAAACGGACCCTCACGGCTTTCTTCAGGAAGTACTTTCTGATCTGCACCTCGCAGCCATCCAAGACAGTGACTGGGTGACCACAGATGACAGGGCACAGGGAGCCTGAGGGATTGGCTGAGAAACCCGGATGCTCAGTCCCCAAGCACAGTGGGCCCGTTAATGAGGACATATCCGTGTGCCAGGCCCTGGGTCCTGGGCCCAGTGCTCTGTGCAGCCGGCCAGGCCCATCGCGGACTCCGGCCCCAGGCACGTGTGCCTCACCTGCAAAGTCGTACTCTGGTCTGAGAAGGGAGAGCTGAAGAACGTGGTCACGATGCTCATGACAATCTCTGTCACGTACTTCTCCAAAACCGAGTCGGCATGCTTCCGGTCACTGGTGTTGTTACAGGCCTGGGGGCAAGGAGCAGCGTCAGACGTCACGGCGAGGCCTGCATGTCAGCTGTGACCTTTCCTGCCGCTTGCCCTTGACCAAGGTGCGGGGGCGGGGGGGGCGGGGGGGGGAAGGCCTGCGGGTCATCACTCTCCCCTGAAGGGACAGCATCGGGAAACACACCTTTTTTTTCCCTTTTAACATCACAATGTTTCTGAAATTGGGATTCATTTCACAATTATTTTCTGAAGAACCCTGTTACTTCTCTCCCTCCCCCAACTCCACCACCACGAAACTCATGTTAATTCTCAGAGCTCCTTGCTGAGCAGGGGGCTTCGGCTTTAGACAGAATGTTAAGCTCAGCACAAAACCAAACCAAGGGCACTGACCACCCCACCTCCCGCCCCCGCTGCCCCACTGTAGGTCATGAAAACATGGACAGAGAAGGCTTTGCAGATCCCTTCACACCGGCCCGCGGGAGAAAGGTTCAGCTCAGGAAGGAGAGACACATTGTCGAGGAAAAGAAACCATTATAAATTCGACTTTAATACGTCCCAGGTGATCGTTCACAGACCGATCCATAAAGGATGGAATGTAAACCAGAAACAACCCGTGTTCCCCGAAGCTTGATGAGTAAACTCTGCTCCACGAGCGAAGGGTAGGAAGGGATCAGGCGTGCGAGGGACGAGAGCCACATCGGCCTCCTTGTGGCGCGGATGAGCGAGGTGAAATGACGAGGCTGTTTTCCTCACGTCTACACGGGGACGCTCGGGCGCACGCACACGCAGACACACACTCACTGCACGCACACACGCGGACTGCCCCGCAGCTCCAGAGAGCCGTACCCTGCAGATGTCCACGAGGAAATTCTCGAACAGCTTCCACATGTGGTTGCTCGTGTAGATCTCCTTCATCTCCACTTCCGTGTCCACGTAGCAGTGATTCAGGAAGTTGATGTACGCGATTTTAACCTGGAAGACAGATGCAGGCTTCTGCGAACAGCCCACCTGGTACACGCGTACCTGCGTGGCTGCCTCGTCGGAACGGTGACAAGGGTGGACCAAGAGGGTCGCTCTGTTTTCCCCGGCCAGCTCTCACCTCCGTGATCTTTGGGCATTGAAAGTTCACACCGACAAAATTCCAAAATGTGAAGCTTTTGGAAGAGAACAATTTCATGAGCTCAGGGCAAAGAACGGCATAAAAATCTCTGGCCGTAGGGGAGACGGTAGATAAGTCCGACTACATTAAAGTTAAGGATTTCTGTTCACGGAAAGACACCATTAAAAGAGTTAACTGCCATGAGTTGGGAGAAGCCGTTTGCAATGCATATCCCAGCAAAGAATTCCTCCAGGTGCAAGATGAGCTCTCCGAGAGAAAAAAAATGGGCAAAACACTCGATCTGATACTTTCCGAAAGCAATATCGAATGCCAAAAACAAAAACACATGTTCAACCTCATTTAGTGATCAAAGATGTAGGAATTAAAACGCCTACGAGATATCACTCCCGCCACACTGAATAAAGCAAACGGTCCCACGGCACTAGGAACTGGCGGGGCTGCGGAGCGCCCGGGAGACGGGATGGCAGCTGGAGCAGCGGCTGGAAAACCGCCTGGCGTTCTCGAGTCAAGTGGAAGAAACGCACCCCCATGACCCAGCACTTCCACTTCTAAGCGGACGGCCAGAGAGCCGCGTCCGCGGCCAGGACGCGTGAGCCCGGCCCCTCGGGGCCCGTTATCACCAGCTGCTCCGCTTGGCTCCTAAGAGCCGAACACTGGAAACGGCTGGAATGAGCGTCAACAGAAACACGGGAGCGTCCAGCATGGGACGAGGATACGCTCTGTGCAAAGGAAATCGCACAGCTGCACACAGGATAGAGAGGTCTTAACACGAGGCTGAACTTTAAAAGGCACGAAATAATAAGGGAAGTTCGAAAACTGGCAGAACTAAACTGTGTTGTTTGGGGACATACAAAGAAAAGCAACATGCGCGTCGCTCACGGCTACCTTCAGCAGGGACACCTGTGGGGGAGGCAGGGGACGGGGAAGGGA